CTGAGAAATTCCTGGAGAGTTGGGGGTGGAGCCTGAAGAGGGCATGGTTTGGTAAGGGGAAGGGCCTCAATGGAGTAGAATGCCATAGAGTCCACTTTCCAAAGTGGACATTTTCTCCAGGTGAACTGATCTCTGTAGCCTGGAGATCAGTTGTAATCCCAGGAGATCTCCAGCCATCAACTGGAGGGTGGAAACAGAGAAAGCTCACCTTCCTTATGTACATGCCTTATTAAAGCATTCCTAATGTTGTCACCTTCGGGGTTTCACTCACTTCCCAGCTTCTGTATGCAGTAAATCTCAGAGCTGGAATGTGTGGAGATGCATCTCTAACGCTCATATGTATAGGTTATGGTCGCCAACCTCCAGGTGGTGGATGGAGATCTCCTGGGATCACAACTGATCTCCAGGCAATAGAGATCAGTTCACTTAGAGAAAATGGCTTCTTTGGAAGGTAGACTCTATGGCATTCTATCCCGCCAAAGTCCACCCTCTCCAAACCCCGATCTCTTCAGGCTCCACTCCCAGAATCTCCATTTTCATCTGTTGGTAGGAGTGGAGGACAGTTGTGTTTTTCTAAGGAATCTGAAGCCAAAAGAAGAAACACTGCTGTGGTTCTTAAAACTGCAGGTCAAGCTATGGCTGAGGGAAGAAGCACAGTAGGCAGAAGGAAGTCTTCAGCACTGTAATGATTCTCGGTATGAGAACAGGGTTCAACAGGCATGCCCATATTTTCATCTGTGAAATGTTGGTAGACATACATTTGTGTTGTAGGGCTACCTGGGGTGTGTGCAGGTTTGAATGACAAGTGATGTTGCTGGTTTTCACTTGACTTCCTCCAGGAACAGGAAGTGGCCTGTTTTTGTTGAAGGAAACGAATGGAAATGGTTCCAAGAGGGCGCTCAGCACAGGAGCGGGAGGGGCTGCTTGGCTGACAAGGAAGGTAAAATAGCGGATGCCAGCAGGACAGCCTTTCCCCCCCTTGCTGCCATGCCATTAACTTTACAAGGCCAGGTGGCAAAAGGGCCTCTTGTAAGCTTTTTCATGAGAAGGATAGAGGCAGCTAGAGGTCAGCTGCTGCTAAAGTCTATTAAACATACTATATCAATGGCTAATTATAAAATGTTGGGGAGCGGTTTATGCCCATAAATGCTCTTGCAAAGGAAACTGCACATAGCAAAATGCTCTTCTGCAGTGACTTGGTAAGTGAGGGCTGCGTTTTGGGCTGCAATGGAGCCCTTCCCATCCCAAGTCAGATTTGGTAGAAAATCAGGACTCAGTTTGATCCTGGGTACTGTCCTAGAACACCAGGCCCAGTTTTGAAACAGGTGAACCAAGGAGGACAATGTTCCTGAGCATATGCAAAGTATATATCTGTTATCAATGTGTGTGTTTTAGGTCAATCACTGCCATGGGGATTTTCTGTATTCCCCTGCTTGGCTTGTTTGTGTGAGTCATCTGAATGGAGTGCAGGGGTCTTTTGGGGCCAGAGCGTGCCAGAGCGCCACTCTGGGAGCACAGGAGCTGGCAAAATGGCGGTGGCAGCAAGCCCCGCCCCCAGGTCCCCGCGCTACGGCCTGTCGCCGCCTTCCCAGGGCCCCGCACTCAAGCGCTGCGGCCCCGAGGAGTCCCATCGCCGCCTTCCCGGGGCCTGCGCTGGAGCGCTGCGGCCCAGGGGAAAGCCAGAAGAGGCCCCCCGCCGCCTCCCGGGGTAAGTGAGGGATCCACGGGGGGTGGCGGAGGCTTGAGTGGGGGAGTGGGGGGGATGGTAGAGCCTCCCGCTCATCTCTTTGCCCTCTTTCTTTCCCTCCTTTCCTTCCCCTTTCCTTTTCTTTTCCTCCTTTTCTTTCTCTCTT